TCATAACGATACAGATTATCAACCAATAGAAACCCATAATTTTTCAATCAAGAATCCTGTTCCTTTGTTTGTCCTAGATTCTAACCTAAGTAACTAATTGCTTTATTTGTCAAAATCAGTTTTCATATTACCTACCTATATTATCAAAATGTCCGAAAACAGCGATATAGAAGGAATACCATCGACTCCAATATTTTTAAAAGATCAGATTAATTACAGTTGTTATATTCAATATAAATATAATTAGAATCTTTATAGTTTTCATGTATCCATGATAATACCATTAAGTTTGTGTTTTTTAAAAAAATTATGAGTTAATTACTGTAAATGTGTTCAATACAAATATAATATTTATAGTTTTTCATTATTTATCGGGTTTAGAAAAAATAGGTTATTCATACACTCGCATATACCATACAAAACTCGCCTTCGGCTCGTTTCGTATCCCGGTTAATGCTCGTGTCTTAATAACCATCATTACATGATCGTTGCATAATATACTATTCCGTTAACCTGCTGTCGCTCCCCTACGAACTACTCAAAAGTCGAAACATGTGACGGCTAAGGACTAACGAAATGAACAATAGAAAGTGAAAATCGATCGTCCGACCTCCCGGTTTGAACCACCGGTTCACACAGCGGCCGATTGACTGAGTGAAGCACATCACCCACGTCAACACACCAGGCTACTGTCCCACCTTTTATTGTGAGATTTTCACTCGACAGTTTACAAAACCGCAAAACACACTTGAAGAAGTGAAGGATGTCTATCAAGTATCGGCCATTTCCATCACATATTCTGCTACTAAACGAGACGACATGAAAATAGGAATTTGTGAAGCATTTAGACGAATTCTACTTACACATTTGTACCGCATGAAAAAAAAACTGCTTGATGATATTCAGAAAATATGAGGTTTGTGGTCAGAGATAATTGTCGTTTCATCTACAACTGCGGTAAATGGTCTCGAAGGCAACGAACGAAGTGCTCTAGTTGTTTTTACAGCACATTCTTCATTGTTCAGATTCTGGGTTCCCGGTTTCATTCCACCGATGGTAGGCGTAGCTTCACGTCTATTGATTGAATTGAATGGCCTGATTTCATTCATGTTAATTTCATCTTCCTTTCAACTGAAATTGTCTGTAGCCCTTCCCTATAAACTTTTCAATTGTAACTCTGCGTATTTCCAGAACATGTATTTGAATGAGATAACGTGAGTGTCTACTTTATGTGCATGTTCGGCTACAGCTGATTTGTCAGTTTGCTCGAGGCAACAATTTCTCTTGTGTTCAGAAAGCCGGGTTTTCGGATTGTTTTTTATTGTTACTATGAAAATCTACCCACAGCTTCAAGGGATCCGGTATACCCTGGTGTTGCTGAAGGTTTTCTGGCTCAACGTAGACCCTCTATGATAGTTTTCGTTGGTTTAAATATGGTTTAACATTTCCAGATCCAGCCCTTAACATTTTTAACATAGAAATGGAGAAGTCACTTTTCAGATGATGATATCGGTGTGGTTTTATAATAATATTATATAATGATAAGAATTCTCTATGAATCTATGTCCCACGTCTTCCTATCTGTTTACTGAAATATTCAAGTAGACAATCGTTGTTTCGGTTTCCACTTCATTGTGACTTCAGAATTTAGATACGATAAAAATTTGTTAAACTACTCTTTGTTGAACCAATAGATCACAAAAAAACAAAAATCCCAGTAATAGTTTTTGTAATTGAGATGTTTGATTAAACAAGAAAATAATAGAAGCACAGTAATCAAAATGTGGTTGGATAATCGCATTGTACACAGTAATTTTAGACTGAGTGGATGAATAACCAGAAATGTTTGCAAAGAAATATAGTTTTTCAGTAATTTTTTTACATATATAATCAAGATGATTGCCGAAAAGTAATAAATTATCTAACTGGAATCCAAGATATTTGATACATGACACAATTTCAATGTTTTCATTATCGATTCGTAGATTTATTTCATGTAAATCAAGGCTGTTCCATTTATATTTTGTTGTAATAAATCATTCCTTCAGTTTTCACATTTTATTCAGTTTTAATTCATTTGCCATGAGGTACGAATTTACATCTTTTAATGCGGCATTCATTTTATCAATAGATTCATCGTAGCATGCCAATAAATTTATAAAACCAACATTTATAAACAAGTTTATGTCATTTGAGTATAAGATAAAAAACAGAGATCCTAAAACGGTACTTCGAGGCACACTTATATGTATATCCAATTCCTGTGAGATATTATCTTGAACTCTGACTTTTTGCTTTCTATGGGATAAATAGTCAGATAACCATCACCATCAATGCCATAACCACTCAATTTCATTAGAAGAATATTACGATCAATTGTTTCAAAAGCCCTCTTCAGATCAAGAAAAACAGCTACTACAAATTCATTGTTATCAACTTTTTTTCAATTTAGATAAAGTGAGTTGTAATGCGGATTCACATGAATATTTTTTACGAAATCCAGATTGATTATTCATTAAAATTTCATTTTTTTCAACATGATCAAGTACCTACTTATGAACAGCTAGTTCAAGAATTTTTTCTATTGGTGGTAATGTATTTATAGGTCTATATTTACAAGCCTTGATTGTATTGCGTACCTTTTGAATGGGAACTATAGTACTAACTTTTGAAGGATTTGGAATTTTAGAAGTTTGAAGAGAAGTATTTACAGAGTTTTAAAGTATATGTTCACATGTTTCAAAAATGACTTTGAGCATTTTGGAATTTAAGATCCCATGATCATTGTTTTTGTTATCTAAGGAGTTAACAATTAGACGTAGTTTATCCATTTTTAATATGTGAAACTTGAAAAAATCAGGATATAGATTATATTCATTGAATTTCCAATCTTGAACATTATCAATACTATCAACAATTTGCTGAATACTAGTTATGAAGTAGTAGTTAAATTCGTTTACTATTTCAGTTTTATTATTAACAATATAAATCTGGTTTGTTAAGTTCAATTCTATATAGCTCGAAAAGTTTTGGCAATTCATGTTCATAAGCTTTTTTAATGTTTTCCTCATCAGTTGACAGTTATTTTTATACATATCTACTCTATCGAAGAAGTGTTTTTTTAATGAATGTACTACTTTATTTCTCTGTTTCTTAAATTCTTTACATTTGACATTTCTGTTCACCCCAATAGTTTTAATAAAATCCTTATATATCTGATCACGTTGTTTTATTTTATTATGAATTTCGTTGTCAAACTAGTTATCGATAACTGATTGACAGTTATTGACTAAATTGAAATATATGACACTAACATCTGTTGAATTCAAATCTCAATCACATGAAATGAAATCTAGTTTTATTTTATTCATATTTCGCTCACTAAGGTTTCTATAATTTTTGATAGAAGTGCTTTCATATCGTTTGTTTTTTTTTGAGACAAATGTATATCAATGCATGGTCACTTATTCAAGGAGTAGGATGGACAAAACAGTTTGCACAATTATTATTAGTTAGTACATAATCAATTAGAGTCTTACTGTTATTAGTAAATCTGGTAAGATCCAGTACTAGTTGATCAATTCCATATTGCAAAAACATAGATTTTTTTTCACATGAAAACTGTTATTCAAGAATTCTAAATTAGAATCTCCTACAACAATGCAATGCTCATCATTGACAAAGATATCATCAAAGAATATAGAATCCGAGCTCGATGGAGAATGATAAAGGCAACATACTGAACGAAACTCGTATTTTTGTAGAGAAACTTATTTCTTAATCGACCTCTTTGATTACTTCACCTTCCACAATCTGAATAAAATGAATGACCGATTGCATTCAAAGTTTTTTTTGTGATTCATCAGCAACTTGTCGTATTTGATGATTTTTTCGGTCAAAATGAGCTAAGAAATTATACAGATACTTACCGTTTCGGATGCTAGAATCTGCATTTGAATCGTTTTCTGTTCTTTATATTCTTTTCTTATTCTGAAGACGGAAGCTAATTTTAGTCCCTTAAGCAATAAGATAAGTATTTCCATAATTTCTTTGCTCATTTTTTGATAGACAAAATTATTATGTAGGAAAAGTTGCTGATACAAAGAACAATTTTTTTGTGAAAAATACTTTGAATTCACACAGCACTTATCGAAGTAAACTTAGGTGATTTTCAGTTGTGTAAAGTTCCTCATTACAATTTTTATATTTTTCCAGATTGTGAAAGGTGAAAAAACCCAAAAAAGTTCGAAGAAAAAGTTTGAACATGTTTCAAAAGGGTGATTATTGTCTTTTCTTTCGTTTCAAATTCAGAATATCAGGCACGTATTCTTCCATTCAGTAGAAATGATTTTGATAGCACAAATCATTGAAGAACTGATAGGAACAACAAATAATATATTGGTATATTCAAATACGTGATTTCATGTAGAATGCGATAACTAATTAATCAATACATGAGATATTTCCCATTTGGAAAAATCATGTTATCTTGAATCAGAGGGGGAAAAATCAATGTTAAACAACCTCAATGAATTATGAACAAAGCATCCTACGCTCCTTTAGTGTTCTCTTCTGTTATATTACCAGACAAAATTTAGAACTTTGAAAAAACAGCCTTATCACAATTATTTTTCTCGGAGCTTACATTACGGGATAATGAAACACCTTGTTTGTCTGGAACTAGTTTCAAAAGTTGACCTCTTTGTATAGCACCGTACAAGTTTCACATTATAGGTATATTGAGCAAATAAAGTCAATTGGGAAGATTTTGAACCAGTTCACATCCACAACAATCTATCAGTTATTAGGGACCATCATCCATTACCAACTAAAGCACTCGTACGACGAAGGTCTTCGTCCTTCAGAAGCCTCAACATTATTTATCATCGTTTGAGAATTTGTTCTCATTCCGCCGAATCCCTTGATATATTTTATTCATATTGTCAGCCCATTTACCCAGAACGTGTCTGCTACAAGCTATTAATGGGATCGTTACATACCTGAAGGTGAGTGTGACCTGACCGTACACTTTTCTGTCCTCTACGAACTCCGGATCGACGAGAAGGACGCCTTGCAACCTATCGATTCCATTTGGCGATACTACCAAGTCCCGAGAGCTCAAATACAGGGTGAGTTTTTGATTTGGAGAGACTTTCTTGAAGACTCTGGAAGAAAAGAATCTGATCAGGTTCTCCAGATTCCAAACATTGACAACTTCAAATATCATATTGTTTCATAAATGTCAAAAAAAAATCAACTTTTGGAATTTTATTGACATTCAAAATTAAGAAAACCGTTTAGGAGGAATTGTATCAATTGATTGTATGGAGGTTTTTAAACGAGTAATTACATATATGAATATTCAAAATTGACTTTGTGTCCATGAACGAACCACAATAAATAAATATACATTTTCAATAATTGAATAGTTTATGTAGTGCAAGTGATATCACATTTATAAGGATTTGTAAGCATTTTCAAACTGTCAATGGCAAAAACCATGTCTCTGAAAAGGTTCTGTTTTTATCTCCTACAAACAAGAATATGAGCTGAAAGAAGCACTACACCCAAACATCAGAACTGGAACACTCTTCTTGGCACGCATTTGCTTTGGATTTATTCTACGCCAAAGGTTCCAGTTATATCTTTCCTTGAAGATAGAGAGACAAAGACGAAAATTTTCCGAGAATACTTTTTTGACAGATGGTCAATGACTTGGATAATTATGTTTTCAGTCAAGAATAGCCTATTACAGTTTTTTACGATATTGTTGAGTTTGGAGTATCTTGATGAGCTCTGCTATTTCCGATTTACTGGTTTCTTCTCGCTATGTGCATCTATTGTGCTCGGAAATGCGGTCTCTTAATGTCTTAATGGCCTCTCATTTTCAGTGATAAAGGATTTGCCACACTCACAGGGTATCCGGTAAATGCAATTCTTAGAATCACAATCGGCGTTTGGTGGCCTGGTTTTTGTGAGGCTGATAAGGATGGTGTTTCTGGATCTGAAGCAGGTTCTGATGTACTTGAATCCAATTCTTCTTATCCTTTACAACAATCTTCTGATATAGGAAAGTGCAAGCACTGGTTATAATGGCTTCTCTTCCTTGCGAGGCTCCTGTTGTCTTCTGAACAGAATATGTTCCACTGGAGTAATCATTTCGTTGAAGATCTTTCTTGATGATGCCTAGTTTCTTCTCGATACCTTCCTTCGTATTACAGAACCAGAGAACAAGGTCTAATTGAGTCTTAATGATTCTCCTTTTGGTAGATAGATGGTGGTTAGATTCGTGATTCAGATACTTTCCCGTATGAGTGGGTTTTCGGTATACAAATGTTTTCCACTCAGTGTCGATCCTTTTCACCAATACGTCCAAGAATGGCAATTTGTTGTGGACTCTCTTGTCTATTGTGGAGGTGATAGAAGGTTTTACGCTGTTGATGTGCTTCAGAAAGGTGTCCAGTTGTGTATTCCTATAGATCCATATTATAAAGGTGTCGTCAACGTATCTCAACCAGGCTCGGAGCTTCTTGTGGGCTTCTCCAATGGCCAGAGTTTCAAACCACTCCATATATATGTTGGCTATAACTGGTAAAAGTGACGATGCCATTGGCAGTCCCTCATTTACGTAAAGAATTCGCCCTTCAGTTGTAAATAGCAGTTCCATACACAGCATCCTAGTAGTTCCATGAATAGTCTATAGGTGAGTTCGTTCTATCTTCCAGATCCTCATCTTCGGATAGCTTTCTCTGTATGATTTGAAGCGCTTCTTCGACAGGAACGTTGGTGTTAATTCATTCAGCGTGGTAATTCATCTTCAAGAAAAACGTATATGCATACAAGTACAGCTTGAATTTGACAAAATAGAAATGATTGCTAGTTAGCTCTCTTGACCAATTTGTGTGGACATTGCCTTTACTATGTAGAAGCAGGTTGTGAGTACATTCGGACTTTTATGGCGTCAGTATCTCTCAATAGGCCTTTTCATGACAATTTTTTTGTGCGCATGCGTCAGTATCAGCCATCTTTTTCGTACTGTTTTTTGTAAACAACCATGTTTAAGAGCCCGCAACTCATGTTTTAAAAATTAAAATATAAATTGAAGTTTATTAATTGTAAAAAAAGTATAAAAAAAATTAAGTAGTAAGTCAAAAAAAATTTATACTCCATTATAATTATTTTATCTGTAGGAACAATAAAACGGTGTTGTTATGGAGTATGTAAAAGTGATACACGATACAAATCATTCAAAACCAACACATACTATTTTATAAATTTTCCAAAGCCTTGTCAAATAATCAAAATTTTTAGATATAGTAAACAAATGCAGATACCTAACCTCTCGATCAGCTCAATTTTTTTCCTTTTTGCGGACGCCCATGACGTTTTAACCACCTTTTTAATTGTTCACAATTATGAGCCTCAACTGAATTATAAACAAGTGAAGCAACATCAATGGTTTTTTCCAATAATTTATTCGTTTGTAGAGATAATATTCCTTGCCCAGCCATTGTTGATTAAAACAGTACGAATGTTTTGAATTACCGCCATGTCAATATGACGGCTACGCTTGCGCTCGTCTTATGATCAAAAGGCCTATACTGCAGAAGCAGTTGGCACTCTTTGCAATTTCATCCACAAAATTCACCCAAAAAGAAGCTAAGTTCAGATTAGTTATACCTGTTTGTTTTATGAAAATCCTATCTGGATGTTTCTCATTACAATCAGAAACATTACGTGGCAGTGTAATAATAAGATAAACGATAAAAACGTATTCTATATGAGTGTTGTTGATAATAACTTGTGCCACAGTAGAAGAAGCATATAATTAATTTTCTTGAGCATCAAACGTGCTGAAGTAGATTTTAAATGAATTTTTATGGAATCAAACATATTCAAAGGAAAAATAATCATTGACAACCGACATCATGGAATTCGAATTCAATGAAAGCAAAGCGGTGCGACTAGCGCTTTCGATAGTTTATACCTATAAACTACTGAATATAAAAATAAGATCGCAGAAATATTAAAAACCCTATATACAGTATACGTAATATGAGGACTAGTTCGTCTAAAATACTTATTATGAATTTCCATTCATATACTTTCGTTCAACGATATGTGCACATATATTTTAAACATAATTTTTTTGTGAATAACATATTTCACTTTCAGCCATTCACGTTTTGAATATTCGCCATATGTATCACCACACAATAGGTTTGTTCTGGTTCTACGAAATTCAGATTTCGGAACATCTAAAAATTTTAAGAATATTGATTCTATACAACTCTCTCGTAACTCCCAACAATACGTCCATTTCCTGGCAGTAAACTCTGTAGAAATGTCTCACATGAAAGAAGCAATCACCAAAGTAAATATGTTGGTCCCAATAAAAATGCGAAGATCGACATTCAATCCAATTCTATTCAAAGAATATTTCTTTTCCTTTTTGAATTACATTCACTGAAAATATAAAGCACCCCTTACCGAATCATGTTGAAAGTATACAATTTACATCAAGCGGAAAGTGTGTCATTTTTCAATGATATTTTTCCCAATTTGTGTCACTTGACCATTCAATTTCTGAGACTTCAATGCTCAGTAATTTCAATAAAACTTTTTCATTGAAAATAAACAATCAGTTTGAAGTTTTGCAATTATTGAACTGTAAAAATTGATTTCTATTTCTGTTTGACTGACTGTCAAACAAGAACCCACAGTTAAAAAGTAACAATAGAATGAAGGTAATCTATCAGAATGTACTATTTTATTATATTTTGTTTCTTTTATAATAGATCAATATTGAGCTGAAACAAATATTAGTCTAATTGATTGATCATCCTGATTCATCATGAGGAATCTTCCAGAATCGATATCAGTCACACTCAGTTTTAATCACAGAAGTGCGGTTTTATAACTCCGTTGAAAACTATCTCTAATAGTTTGAAATGAGCCTATTTCAATTTTTCTATTAGAAAAATTCGTTAAAAATTTCATAAAATATGATTTTGGAATCAATTTTTCTCTAAAAATGTATAACACTCATCTGGTAGAGAATTTCAGGAAACATTCAAAAGATAATACCGTATTTTCGGAGATAATTCGATTACTATATTGCCTATATGAAGAGTTTATTGCAAAAATGAGCATACTGGCAAAGGAGTTCACCACTTGAATGCTAAAACAGTTTCTATGCACTTTTTCACCAGAGATGCAACATCTGAGAATAGTAGAATATTTTTTGTGGACAATAATATGGGATGGAACAGCAATGTAAATAATTGAATGGATCTGGCCAATACTTGATGAAAATTCATATTAAAAGTCATTGATATCGTTTATTGTATGATTTTCACTATGAAAGGTTTTACAAAAACCACGACACGTGTGTCGCTATACATTAGCAGTTGATCAGCATTTACTATGCTGTCGTTTAATGCCACATTTACATTATTCTTCAGTATGGTGCAGTGTGAACATCCAGGGTTTTCGTTTCTCAGAAGAGGATTATATAATTAATGTTCAACATAGACTATAGAGAATTATGTCGTAATCATTTCAAAGAACATGGAATTCTCACAGTTACTCTATTTACATCTACAAATGCATTTTATATGCGAAGAGTAATTATCATAACTTTTCTGTCAATTCTGATTATCACGACTACCGAACTCGATCCTCGAAACTTATTAGGCCTCCTAAATATAGGCCTCCTATATAAGAGATACCCAATATACAAAGAAATTCAATTTCTAAATAATCTGCCTGCCTGTATAAGCTTGGAAGACAACGATACATATACTTGGAGTTATTTGGGATAGCAGCGAAGCGCAAGTATACTCTTATAACATTATATTTCCAATATTTCGACAATGGTTATTGTCATCATCAGGAAGCTAAGATGATAGACTTTGAATTAATACAGAACTTGAGTTAATAAATGAATACTTACAATGTTAGTGAGACTGGTCGCAATTGAGTTGAGTTAAAATCAAAATTTGAACGTTGTAATCATGATAAAAACATGTAACAACTGTACAAATACAAGACATATGAATTAAATGAAAGCTACAATATATATACGTTAAATAAGAAGTAATCATAAAA